GGTAATTGTTAAGGCCCCTGTATTACACCTTGGGATCTTGTGTATGGCCCGCACCTCCTTGCACACCACGCTTCTGACATCAACATCCTGGGGGGAGTTAGAACAAAGCTTTGGGGTATAGTAACTATAGTACGTACATGGTATTATTATTTTGGCGAATACAGACCTCTAGGGAAATGTAAGGTTACTAGCTACTCCGACTCCTCTATTCGCTCAGGCTCGCCTACCCTTCTGCTCTGCCGTGATAACCGAGACGGGGACCATCTACGTCTCGGGCGCAGTGGGTGCCCGGAAAGGCAAAGGGAACCCTACGCCTGTTTATGCGTGGCTCCAGTGACTAAGCGGCTTGAACAGTCACCCAGAGTATTCCTTCGGGTTTCGAAAAAAAACTATGCATTCTACATACATACAAACATATATATATATATAGAATATAATATATAATATTATATATATATATATATATAAAGATATATACACACACATACATGCTATGTTGGCTCCTTTGCCCCAAATCCCGATTCTAAGCCCCCTACATTGCCTCCAATTTCAGGAGTCGGTTCTTACCGCCCCAAAAGCCCGATTCTCATGACTTTCAGGCCCCTATGTCAAGCTCCCAAAGCTCAACCGACCTCGACCCAGGGCCGCAGCAGAAGTCATCCAAAAGCTACAGAAGCCAAGCTACACGCTTCGCTGTCAAAGGTTTTTTGCTTTAGGGCTTGTGGAATTTGTGGATTTAGGGTTGAGGGTACTTTTGGGCTTAGGGCCGTGAGGGCCTAGGGTTGCGGGTTTAGGGTTGCCAGGGCGTCAGGTGTAGAAGTCTAAGTTTAAAGTCTAGCATGGCGGGAAACCATGGGAAGCTCCTAAACTTTGCACCTCCAGCCCGGCAAGCCTTCGAACCAACAAACTCTCAACTTAGGAATCAGGTCTATGATGGTCTACGGAGGGTTTGGGGGGCTTGAGGTTCATTTCGGGTTTTGGACATGAAGGTTTTGAGAATCTAGCTTTTGGCCTCCAAACAGTCAGCCCGGAAGGCAGCGATGGAAAACCTACCGTGGTTCCCGGAGGCCCCGAGAAGGACTACGTTGGGGTTCAGGGTTTAGCGCTCGGGTTTGCAATGCAGAGGCCTGCAAAACTGATTAGGGTTGAGGGGTTCTTTAATTTGAAAATTAAGACCCCAAATAGTACGGCACCCTTATAAAAAGGACCCTAAAGGGGACTGTAATTTCGAGAACCACCCATATGAAGGAACCCTACGAATTCTTGCTTCTTGTGGCGCTCCTCCCTCTTCAATAACACTTACTGCAGTATTGTTTCTGATGAGTACACGACGAGCCCATGCTTCTATTACGAACGTGTGGAAAGAGACTTGGTTGAGTCTAAACCTTCAACCCTAAACCCTAAATCCTAAACCTCCTGAAAAGGATTACAAAGGGTGCCGCCTCAAAAGGCACCCCCAACCCTATAAACCCTAAATCCAAACCCCCAAAAGAGGCACTTGCACAGCGACTCCCCACTTGTGGGTTCAGGGGCAGCCACTTTAACGCCCCAGGAACCCTGAAGCGGCGACGCCTCACATCTCACACTTTACAAGCTCTGTTACAGCTCCTGCACCTCGACTCCCCGACCCTGTGCACTCAACACTTGGAGACCCAACCCCGAAGACTGTAATCGAAGTCAGTCAAGAAATCTACATACCCATCACGCTGCCGCTGGGAGACTCAGAAACTAATAGTAGAACACCTAAACCCTAAACCCTGAAC